TTAATTTACATGTATGTCACTTAAAGTTTGAGGCTTATATTTATAATATTTTCATATTATAAATTTAAGTATAAAGAAGTGTATTTCACTTTTATAAAGTATGAGTAATAGGAATATTTTTTATATGAAGTTAAGGAATTGAGCACCACACATTTCATATTTAGGTGTTTCATACATATATGTATAAGAATTTGTGCGGTATGTATGCAAATGCTTCTTCATAAATGGAAAATTCATGCACATTTCCAAGTTTTACTAAAGCCAAGTTTATATACTTGGGGTTGTTTGATTTGCTGAAAATGAAATGTAATGTAAAATTTATGCAGGGTGCCATGATTATAATTATTTGAAGTTCATTCAAGTTATTTTGTTCACGGTAAAATAAAAGTAAGATTTGATGTTTTTTGGTTTGTCAGAATTAGGTTAAAAACAATACATTTTAAAAGATATTTTTTGTCCGACGGCAATGTGGGGCCGGTAATGAAGGGCAAATGGACTTACGTTTTGTGACGACAGGGGGCCAGCCATGGTGGACAAGTGGGCAGATGGACGGCGGTTGCGACGAGCAATAACGGGGGGCCAAATGGCGGAGGGGTCGGTCGACAACTGAGGGCAATCGAGAGAGGTGAACAACGAACGGTGGTTGACGGCGGAGGGCAGCAGGCGCAATCGACCACGCGAGAATGCGAACGGTGGCAGGTGGCAGGGACTGGATGGTGTTGCTGCTTGCCAATACCATTTTAAAAGAATGGCGTAATTCAAATTTGGGCAAACCGGGTGAATTCTAAATTCATCTAAAATGAACTACAACGTAAACAACAAATTCCCTCAAATTTTACATTGTATTTATTAATCTTCATACCAAACACATTATTTTTCTAAATTCATGCAAAAGAATTACAGTTCACCACAAATTCACTCGATTAGACAACCCCATAAAAATCTTAGTATTCGCCTAAACCACTCAAAGTAAACAACCACGTATCAGCTAGCATTTCTCGTCCCTTCTATCAGCCTCTCTTTCTATGGCGTTTTTTTGTTGTAGCTCCAAATTTGTATTAAATAGAATTTATCAAATCCGATAAATCTGACGAGTCGCGACGGAAATGAAATTAATTTTGCAAACAACAACAACGTAGATCCATTAAATACGCATCACTGGCGGATTTAATAAATCCAGATTTATACAAAGTAGATGGAACGAGGGAAAAAACAAAACGAAGAATAAAGTGATTTAATGAAGATTTAATTTCTTTTTCTTTTATATTTGGGTGGATTTAAATTAAATTTGTGAACAAATCCTATTAAAATATGCTCACCCCATTCCTTTCATCTGTCTTGCCCCGTCATCGACAGGAGAAATTTTTTCATACGAAGAACGTACGTAGTTCTGCGTGCGGAAGCCAGTAGAATGAGGCCACGTGTGCTACCCACCACTTAAAATATTAAAAAAACAATTTTACTGCGCGTGACCCGCCAACCCAGCACAGACAAAGCCTTTTTGGCGCGCGTGAATCATATTGGAATAGAGGTGTGTTTTAGAAGATTTATCCCACAAACAGAGAAACACATGAGATTGGAATAGAGGTGTGTTTTCATATATGTATTTTTAGTTTAGAGAAAATTTTTTTCAGTTGTTTTAGAAGTGTTATGTGTTTTTAGGGTGTTGTTATTATTAAGATTTAGTGGTTGTTTAAATGTGTATGTTCGTGGAGGTGTTTGTTTTTGGAGTTGTTTTTGTTTAATGGATGAGATTTATATCAAGTGTTTTTTTTTTAACCTTACCACACCCTTTTTATCGAAGAAGCATATGAAGTTCTTAACACTGTTGTTCAGCTAATTTTAAGATTAGCAAATCAAGTACTGTTGTTCAGTCTTTTTAAAGATTATATTTGAGTTGTTAGGTAAGAGTACCAAGTCATCTAAGATCATTTATATTTGAGCTGTTTTTAAGATTAGCATTCTCTATTGTGCAGTTTGGTGAGGTTAGAGATAACTGCACCGAGCCAACTGCAAACAGATTACTTCAGGCAATGGTCTATAATGAGAAAAAATCTTCTGAAGTATATTGTGTTTACACTCATCATATCGGATTTAGTGTTCATAAGGAGCACACTGCATTTTGATCTAACTTCAGGAATCTTAAGGCGAAGGGTTCAATATGTGGAAAAACAGGTATCAAGAAAAAGCTGAAGATCACATATTGTTAAATACAAAAAAATAGACACAAGAATTGGTTATTTGGCAATGATTTAATATGCAGTTGATGGTTAAAGTAATTGGACAGTTAAAAATTTATAGAATCTCATAACCACTTCTTAGCAAACCCCGGTGATAAACACATTTTGTGTTTCAGTAGAAAGACAAACAAAGGTAAAACAAATGTGTTTAGATCAATGAAACAGTCAGTTGAAAGATAAACACAATTACCTCTGCATAATCCCGTAATAACCTCGCTGTCTTGCGTCAATAACCTCTCTGTGACATCTCCAATAACCTCCGAATAACTCCGCAATAACCCATCAGTAACCGTTCCTCACTGACGTCGTGGTTCCGCACCAATAATCTACGTATAACCTTTGCATAACCTCCGATAACCCATCAGTAAACACTCCAATAATTGTACTTATGCATGTATTAATGTGATGTTTAACCTATGATGGTTGTATATAATTAATATGAATAATGTGAGTGAAGTTTATTGTCACAGATGGAATCAGATATGCTGATAATTTTTTTTTTAAGTTTTATTGATCATTTTGATTCCTTCATATTCAAAAATTAAATTCTCAAAAAAGGGAAGATTGTTTGTGTGCAGATGATGATGATGAATGAAATATTTAATGTTATTTTAAGATTATTAAAAATATGAGCATCCGATAAATATAGTATTCATTTGATATATAAGTGAGAATTTGAAAATTGTGTGAAAAAGTATGATTGATTTATAAATAACATCTTCTCATCCTAATTTATCAGAACTCTTGAATAAAAAATCTAATAACATCACCTAAAAATCATAATAACAATAGTATATTATATATATATATATATAAAATAAAATAATTGAAGATTAAAGCATCCATTTTACATCAGCATTAACCTGGCCATGAAGATATTGCAACAAATAAATCATTGATATAGTTAAAAAAACATTTAAGAGAATCTTAACTATGTTAGGGACAACGAGAATTTACATAACTCATATTTTATTTCTGCTCTAATTAATGACATGATATCCAACCATCCTAATTTATCTCTCCACTCACGTCTATCTTTTTGCACAAGTGTTTCCATAAATTTACACATGAATACACCACAATCGAAGCTATTGTTTTGCACTGGAATGCCTTTGGTTATTACAACTGATCATTTTTTTTCAAATTAGTTCTAAAATTTCCCCCGACTTCCTTCACAAAATGTTTAATGTATATATTTAAATGTATAATTAAATCGACGACAATATAGAACGATGCATAAAACAATATTTCATTAATTAATGATCTGATGAGTGATTTTACAACTTTGCGGTTGATCTCCAAATGCATTTTGTTGAATAAGGAGTTATACAGTCTCTATTTTTGCTCCTTTAATTCCTCAACTAGTAGTGTCCAATGTTGATTATTGATTATTGGTATAAAAAGTAACTCTATATTTTTAATAGTCTCCTTCCTAACGCGATCAACAAACCTTGTCAATTTTTTATGTCAGTAAAACTACTTAAAAATGCAACATCATACTAAAGTTATTATCATGTTGGATGTATTTAAGTGTACTCTAAATCGTGTGAAGTTTAATATTTACCCAATGGAGTGGAGACGCACATAGGTAAGATCTATAAAATTGGGGTGATTTGCACCTCTTATTTTCCATTAACATGACAAAACAATCTACATGTTCATTTCCTAACAAACCATTAGTCAATAACTCTTCAAGGTCACGTCGACTCATTAAAACATGTCCCATACCAATAATAAGATCACCCATGCAATTGAAATATATAATTATTGTGACAGATGTATACGAAATTAATGCAGAGCAAAAAATAAAGATGGTGTACAAACATGTTAGTGAGTTTCCTGTATAGATCGATTGTTTCTGCATTAAATATGAAATTTATTCTCTAGCGGGAAAATCGATTACCAATGATGCTGGACGAACCGGTAAAACTAGTAACTCTCAATAGATAATGCAAATATTTGAGTTCGGAGAAAAAACAAGAGAAGATTAAATTCTTTACCTTATCAGGATAGTCTTGAACAAGTTATGGGCCTGAGTTGTGTTGCTCTTTCTCTATATTTTCATTTTCAACCTGCTCCATTATTACAATGAATTGTTCCTCTTCTTTATCAGATGGTGTTTGTTGTATTTGCTATGCTTGCTCAATTTGTACATTCAGTGAGTTAGAAATAATGTTTGATATTATAGGTTGTTGTGAAACAAACTCTTCTTCTTTATTTACATCTTCAACCACATACATTATTGTAATGAAGTGTTCCTCTATTTTATCAAATTATGTTTGTTGAAGTTGACCTGCTTGCTCAATATGTACATTTGGTGAGTCAGAAATAACGTATGATATTATCGATTACTGTGAAACATATCATTTTTTTTGTCTCCTCAGTTTTTTCAATTTGTGCAACTAAATCATCTAATATACATTTGGAGTGTTTTTCCATTTCCTTTATTGCTTTGTTTTTTTTTCTCCTACTCAAATGTCATATAAATGGAGAACTAAAATTCCTCTTTTTTTATTAAACATTTTTATGGGGATTTTTTTATCCATTGTTTTTGCAAATTCTTCATCTGGTTGAATTATTTTTTTTTTCTAATTTATTGACTTGAGACTTTAAGTCTATATTAACATGTTATCTAAATTAGTAAAAAAAGTATTAACTAAGTCTTGAAAGTTTAAAAAAAAATTCAGTTGATTTCTAAGTAATTGATATATTTCTTCTAATCCAATATGTTTACTTATATGTATGTATGTATATGCTGGTTGAGGGTCACATGCAGCCAAATTGTTCTTCTTAATATTTAAATGATTGGAATTTCTCCGTCGCCGGAGAGGCGCCGCCAAATCTCTCTTTCGTGCTCTTTCAGTCAAGTCAGTTCATCGGGGCTCAGATCCCTTCAGAGGGCAACTCTCCAGAGTTTCTCGAGAACTATTAGGGTTTGTAGCTAAGTCCGCTTTATCTTACGCGCAAGATTTCAAAAAAAGACTCGACTTTTCTTCATGTCGTCCATTTCCTTCTGTTTCGGTGCGAAAATTTGAGGCGGAGAACTTTTCTCGGCGGTGGATCGGTGAAGCAGTGGAAACTTGAGCTGCTAATGCTATTTTACGGGCGCTATTTCGGAGATATAATAATTAGAGGCTCAAATGTCTTGGGCAGGCCTGGAAGAACTCTTTCTGTCCACTTCTCTCGCCAGTTATCTTGATAGTAAAATACCTTTCTTTGCCTCACCACTGCATTATGTGTACCTTTTTATGTTTTTTTTCTCAAAGATTATCATTGTTTCTGTTGAATTATAGACAAGTTACAAGGCTTAGTTATTGTCAGTTTTATATTTTATAATTTTTAGCCTAGATTGGTTTAAAAATGACTGTTCTAACTTTAGAATGGTTGCATCAGGGCATATCAATGGACGGGTTTGAATTTGGTTAAAGTGGTTATGAATTGTGGCCATTCAGTTTTTTAGCAAATTTGTTTTCCTCCTGTACTCAGGAACACTTCGTGTGAAATCGGATGGCTTATGCCGTAGATTTCTGCTCACCCAAAATTTTCAGTTTTGCCTTCAACCAAACAGGAGTCTTACGAAGTTTTTGGAAGCCACTTCCAGTTGTAGCTTAATATTATGATGATATCAAGAATGAAAACTCTGAAAGTTTTCTTTCTTGTTAGTGTCAAGGATTTTATTTTTGGAAGAAGAGTTTTCTGCCTACAACTTGATTTATCATTTATTTATTCATTATGCCACTTAAAATTGTGCTCTTCAAACCCTTTAAATATGCATCCATTAGCTCTCTAAAGTTCACTGCAAACATGGGCGCAGATCCGCGTGGGGTCCAAGGAAGTAATTTCAGATTTTTACTTATATGGGAGGACAATTAGGTCTTTTGTCTCTCCTGAATATCACTTTGCCCTTCGTTGCTCTTGCCCCTTCCACATTAGGTTTAGGTGAACAGTTTGCTCCCCCCCCATAGAGGTCGGTTCCGCTCCTGACTGTAGAGTACCTTTAGTAATACTCAAAAGTTTGACATTTTTCTTTTAGGGCCAATATAGTTGTAAAATCAAGAACTAAGCTTCACTTATGCAAGTACTTTTGAATGTATTTTTATAGTGACAAAGGAGAGTCATTAGGGAAGATAACAATCGTCATGTCTCTTTCAGTCAATGATGTTAGTGTGTGTGGGGTGTCAATGGTATAGACACCACTATACTGACAAATGCAACAATCCACATTGTGTATGCCTTAATATGAAGCATGGTCATGTAGATCATGATTTAGTCATCCATCATGAATTATGAGAGACATAATGATGTACACAAGATAAGCGAGATGGGAGAATCGGGTGTTGGAAGATATAGAAGGGAGTGGGAGTGGGAGCGCGGGTGCGGGCTCGGGAACCGACACTAGAGAGCAGGCACAGGGGAGCTGGTGCATGGGGGCTCAAGAGAGAGGGTGGGTGGGAGGGAGGGAGGGAGGGATTCTTATTCTTTATGCAATGATCAAATAAAATCCCCAAGTCATTATTCATAGAATGGAATTGAAGGATATACCCAAAAATAAGATTATTTAAATTTAAGTATTATTAAATAATAATACTAAATAATTCAATTTCAAATCTTGTAATTATCCTAACAAAGTAAATCCAAACAAATCTAAGATTCAAATTTAAATAAATAAATTCTAAAATGCTTAAAATAAAGCTAAAACTTTTTTCTTATGTCACATCAATTCTTTTGGGCCTAATAAAAATCTTCTTTTTAAGAGGTACACAAAAACCCTTTACTTAGAAGACTTATTTTTATGATTATGATGACAGCGGAATCATTTCATGAACATCTTTATCATCATTAATATATTTAACCTGACATAAAAATCCAGATCTAGATGCTTCAAACTTGGGTGCAATATATCGCCATCAAAGTAGCATCATAGAATATCTCGTAGCCATTTTAATTGTAGAAGTAGTGATAAAATACAAATTAATTTGTAATGGAGAGGCAACGGTTGAGGAAGTTGAGGCACAATCTATATCTCAGTGTATAGAGGTTGGAAAGTAGTACTAAGAACAAAGGAACTTTAGTTACGATTGTGGGCTTTACAAAATATCTTATTCAATCTTTAGCACAAGCTCTTCTTAAGGCATGGAATTATCAAGCTTAAAATAACGCTTAGATAAAAACACATCACCATGTGCAAGCTCAGACAAATAAAGAGGAGAATCTGATGGGTATTTGAATTTAGTGGAGCATTAGGGATTGTAGTTATTGGATAGAGATGTGAAATGAATCTGTTAAGTTTTTCTTATAGCAAAATATAGTTTCTTTCTCAACTCATAACTTCAACTAGTGTTTTAATTTAGTTAGAAAATGTTACAGAATATGAAGTTCGATGAGATTTGAGATGTTTATAGGAATCATAAGATCTATAAAGATATATGAATGACTCATTTTCGTCATCCAAAACCTTTAAGCAATATTTTGTGCAAATATCCTTTGCTAGATCTAAATCATATCCAAATAATCTCCATTATGTTTTTGTTCTTGATTTAATATATGAACAAATAATAGTGTTGACTCCATGGTGAATATCAAGGATTTAGGAACTCTACAAGTATTTTTTGCATGTATTTTGAAGCATGCACGTGGAAGGGTAGATGTGAATACACCAAACAAATGTGCACACAGCCATAGGCGAGTGACACGAGCCTTTCCGTGAGTGCATAGTTAAGGCTTGTGTTTGTGATAGATATATGTTTGGAAACAATGTAAGACAATTTGTGGTTGAGTGAGAAATAGTGTAATAAAAAGATCTGAGATAATAGGAGGGCTGGTGATTGCATGACTTTTCAGGTGTTAGCATTTGAACTAGTATAAGTCAACGGGGATAGATTTTGATAACAAAGCACATACGGATGGATACTACAACACATGAGGCGGGGGTGTTATCATGAGAATATACAACAAGGCGGATTGACGAAGGCATGGGATGGGGAGCACAAAGGTTTTGATATCATTAATGCAATCAAAAGATGTTAAAAAAGGAGAATAAGGTAATAGGGAAGAGAGCCATATCCACCTAGCTCGATTCAATCAGGAGTAGAGGCTAGGAGAAATAGCTTTGACTTAATTCATTTTGTAATGTTTTTTAGAAGCTCAAAATCCTTATTTATGGAAATAAGGTTTGAATGATAAGGCCTAAAGAAAAGATCAATTATTTGAATTCAAATATAATCCCATATAAATTAATTATAATCCTAATAATTCCAATTCAAATGTATTCAAACATAGAATTATTGAAAAAGGATAGTTTATTCTAACAAAATAAATTTGAAGTTCTAATTTAAATAGAAGAATTTTTTTAAATGTTGAGAATATATCTAAACCTAATTTCTTGTGCTGCATGACTTTATCCTGCCCTTTTGATAGTCCTTCACAATGATTTTCTGACATTGCCTTGTTTTTTTTTTCAAATATGATAAACTCACCTGTTTTGTTAGAACCAAGTGGTCTTTCGTTCGATGCCATTTTCACCTTCTTGTTGGTTGTATAACATCGACCTCTTTTGTTGATGCTAATAAAAGCTCCACAAGTAGATGGTTGTTTGAAGCGCGGAGTTGAAATCTAGATTTTATGCATTAATAAACTAGGATGCTTCAAGAAGATCAACCAAATTATATGGTAATTGAAGGGAAAGGTTAGGCAGCTTTTTTTATAAATCTGCTAAGTTTTATGGGCCTGAGTTTCATCTCTTAAATTCAGGTTTGTAACATTTTTTAGTTAGATTTGTAAAAAGCGGTCAAGATCTAACTTTTAACTTTCCTAAACCGTCTGCAATGTATCAAAATATTGTGTAGATCCTCGTAGTTACCACAGGGCCGTTTGGGATTACTTTTATTTTTATTTTTTATTTTTTATTTATATTTCATTTTTTATGTTTTGATTTAAATTAAAACATATTTGGTTAATGTACTTTTTTTTTAAAAAACACTCAAAACATTTTTTTAGGTGTTTTGAGTATTTTTAAAAATAAGTTGATTTATTTTTAAAAATAAAAGATAAAAATATATAAAAAATAAATTAAAAATGAGTAGAAACCCATTTTCGATTGAGAAATATGAACAAAAATATGATCATAGACGTATGCATATCATATTGCTTGTATTCCTTGATCTTTGGGCACTCACACATTGCACATTTGGGGAATGATTTTTCCCCTGAGAACCATTTTGTCACATAGAGTCCTGCCCTTTGCATCTTAATTGGCCTTATAAACTGATCTTCTGAATATTCATTATCAAGAATTGCATAACCTATCACACAACCTGTCTCGATGTACTCAGCACTAAAAGCTAATCAAATATAATACTTGAGTGTGGTGAGCTTTAAAACAATATTTTAATTTTAAATTATGAAAATACATTTGCATTATTCTTAGGATATTTTGCATTATATATAAGAAACAAGTTTTTAAAAACAAGAAAAAATAAAATAAAAATAGGAAGCAAAATTGATGCCAAAATGGCTCTACAATTTTGGATTGTTGGGGAAACGACCAAGAACTTGTCAAAATTGTGCAAGTAAAGTGCCCTTTTTATTTTGCTCTCTTCCTTATCCACTAGACCCGAAAAGTGTAAGGTTTGGATTTGGTTCACTTTTATTTGTTTCTAATTCACATGATTTTCGTGTACGATTGAAATTTGGCTTAGATTTATTCATAAAAAAAAATTGATTTGAGACTCATACGTGCTCACTATTAAACCCGAACTTTCTTGAGTTTCTCAAATCCCTAAAATCCTTTCTTGTGGTGAGAGCATTAAAAAAAAGAGTTTTAGTTGGCCATCTGCTGCAAAGCATCAAGTCGAGTATAGAAAGTTCTTACTGGTGGATGAAGATGAGGGGTATCTGTAGATTGCAAGTGCTATAGCCTGACAATTTGCTGGAGATGATACCTTTATTAGTAACCGATGATTATGAAAAATGTATTCTGAGCAAGATTAGATTCTTGTAGTTTTACTAAAATTCTTGTTTTACTATGCTAACAACAATTTTGGAGATCTTAGTGGATCCTGGACATGTCTAGCATAGCTAAACTACTAAATTCAAAAAGTCTCACACTTTGATTAACATGAACACTTCTAATGATGGTGGAATCGGTGAAAATGGGAAAAGAGTATCATTGGAGTAGTGTTTGACAAAATATGAAGATGATA